GCCACGCGGACGCCCCACGGGGCTGGGGCAGATGGGGAGGGGGACGCAAGGCCGCGGGGCTGCATGGGGTCCTCACGGTGCCTCTCTCCGCAGAAGGGCCGCCGCTGACCAACACCACCTTTCCCCACATCATGCCCCTTGTGATTCTTCTGGAGCGGGATGAGGCTCTGACGGACAGCCCAGAGCCCTGGGAGACCACCGACAACGGCGTGGAGGTGGTCATGGCCCACCTGGAGGCAGCGCGGATGGTGGCCCACCACGGTGGGCTCTACCACACCAACGCGGAGGTGAAGCTGCAGGGTAAGCGATGGGGATGGCAAAGCCCCTTTCCCTCTGCCACGTTCCCAGCACACAGCTCCAGCACCTGACGGAGCGTCCCACAGGCGCAGGGTCCCCATCCTATCCCAGGGGAACTGACTCTCCCTCCCTGCAGGTTTCCAGGGCAGAGCAGAGCTGCTGGAGGTCTTCAGCACCGAGTTTCAGCTGCGGCTGCTCTGGGGCAGCCGGGGGGGCGGCCGAGAGCAGCCAGGCCGAGCGCTACGAGAAGTTCGACAAGGTCCTCACCGCCCTGTCCCACAAGCTGGAGCCAGCAGTGCGCTTCAGCGAGCTGTAACCCCCCTGGGCGCTGGGAGCATCCCCCTAGCTCCCAGCCTGCCCCCCCCCAGCAGCTGTGGGGCAAGGGGTGGGGCCAGGTACCTGGCACCAGGAGGAGAGCTGGCCCAGCAAGGCATTGGGGCACAAATCAGCAATTTTGGGTCAAAGAAGAGGAAAAACAGCCACCTCTCATCTACCACCCAACTCCCTGGGACACGAGGCACCATGGCATCCGCACCGCTGCCCTGAGGGATGGGAACAGTGTCTGGGCAGGTGTCCGGCATCCAGCCCCACTGAGGTCCATGACCACAGGGTGCCCCACACCTTGCCCTTCAGTTTCTTTTCCATCTGTCTTGCCCACAGCTGTTGGATCCCGTTTGTAAATACGTTTTCACAATCAGGTCTCGCTGTACAGACTTGTGACGGACAGTTCTTGGTGTAAATAATTAGGCTCATTCATTGCATCTTGTAAATATGTGTACATATCCCATGGGTTTGGTTCTTACATACAATAAACTTTTCTGCCCTTCCTCAAGGGGATCCACTCTCCCAGGGGGGTCATTTAAACCAGGCTCCAGCTCCCTGGGGAGAGCAGGGCCCAGGAAGGGCTGGTGAGGGGAACCACCGTGCTGAATCCAAGCACGAGGACAGGCTGGGTGG